ACCATGATATGACAGGAATCACTGTAAAAAATGGAAAATGAGGAGGTTGGGGACCTCACTCTCGATCTGCTGCCGACAGTCGCCGTCGGTGTACCTGGTGCTCAAGGCGCGTCCGTGCGCTCAGTCCAGGAAGGCCCCTCCTCGGCGTGGCACTCGCCCTGGCTCTCTGTCCAAGTCCTCGCGTGCGTGCCTCCGCTGCAGCCGTGGCAGCTCTGCACGAGGCTCTTCCCGTGTCCAGGTCATGCGTTTCCCCAGCTGCACAGTCCGTGTTCCGTTCCCAACACGAGAGCGGGTGTCGTGCATGCCACCTGCCGACGTCTGCAGCGCGCTGGGCCCCCGTGCGGCTGCAGTGCATAGACGGTGTAAAGCAGGATCTCACGGTTTTGAATTCGGGCTCTCCCAGGGACCAGGAGCAGGAGAAAGCAGCCGAGAGCGAGGCGGGCAGAGCAGGCGCAGCGCCGTCTCTGGCCCTCAGCATCTTCTACGCCGGCAGAAAGGCCTATTTGCTGCTTTGTTTGTTTGTTTCTGTTAGTTATAAAGAATGTCCCTTTTCTCACCGTACTTTACAAATAGACTCAAGTTGCTGGCTGGGAGTTTCAGGGATTTTCAGTCCTTTCTGCTACGTGGGAAGAAATTGGGGTTTGGGGGAGGAGTGGTATTGTTAAAAAAGCCGCCTGCGTTTCCGCACTGTCCGTGCTGACTTGCCGGGTCTCGTGTCTGGACAGCAGACCGCAGCGGGGCCGGGAAGGGCGACCTGCAGTCCACGTTGCTGGAAGGGCACGGCTCGGCCCCACCCGACCTGGACCTCTCCGCCATCAACGGTGAGTCGTCCGTCTCCCCCGTCCTGTCACTAGCTGGGGGTTGCAGCAGATCTCAGCAGGCCCCGAAAGTACAGACGCTCCTTCACTTACCACGGGGTCCGCATCCCAAAAGATCCATCGTGAGTTGAAAACACCATGAGTCAAAAATTATTTAGGCCGGGCGCGGTGGCTCACGCCTGTCATCCCAGCACTCTGGGAGGCCGAGGCGGGAGGATCGTTTGAGCTCAGGAGTTTGAGACCAGCCTGAGCAAGAGTGAGACCCCGTCTCTACTAAAAATAGAAAGAAATTAGCTGGACAACTAAAAATATATAGAGAAAAAATTAGCTGGGCATGGTGGCACGTGCCTATAGTCCCAGCTACTTGGGAGGCTGAGGCAGAAGGATCATTTGAGCCTAGGAGTTTGAGGTTGCTGTGAGCTAGGCTGATGCCATGGCACTCTAGCCTGGACAACAGAGTGAGACTGTCTCCAAGAAAAACAAAAAAAAAAACGTATTCAATGGCCCGATAAAGCCATTGTAAAGTGGGACAATCTTAAATTGAACCATTGCAAGTCCAGATGCTCCTCAGCTTACGATGGGGTTGCATCCCAATAAACCCATTGCAGAGTCAAAATATAACATGGACCATCTGCGTGCATTTCTCACCGTTAAAATGCTCTTCTTTATCTTAGAGAAAAGTGCAGTCAAAAAGACTCCACAATTAGAAAAAACATCAGAGAAAACGGCATCGACGTCATTTTCTGCCCCTCGGAAAAAGAGCCCGGTAGGTGTCTGAGAGGAAGGGGTTGCCGTGAACAGGCCGCGTGAATCTGATTCTGCTCCCGCCCTCTGCCGGGGGTCACCCGAGGCCCCAGGGCTCCTAGAGCAAACAAGACAGCCGTGCCCCTTAGGATAAGAGTCAAGACCAGAAACGTTCTTAGATCATTTGTAGAGTTTGTTTCCCCAAGCACACACACGGGAGCAGAAACCAACACGGGACCGTGTGGAAAGTGAGACTGCGGCCTTCTCTGGGCTAGGGAAGCTGCGAGGCCAGGCCTGGCCCCTGGCAGGAGCACAGCTGGGCTGGGTCTCGCCTGGGTGAGGACAGGACCCACAGGCGGGTTCTGGTCCCGGCACAGCACCGAGTCGCTGGGTGCTCTCAGCTGGCTTTGCCTGGCCGCTGCCGCCACCCCTGCACCGCCTGGCGCGGCGGGAGGGCCAGACCTCCCCGTCCTCTCACAGTGCTGGAAAAGACCGCGCGCGGGAAGCAGGCAGCAGGGCCGCGCACAGTGGAGGATTCCCAGATCATCAAAGTAAACACGAAGACACGAGTCACGCTTCTGCCCCTGCTGGGTTCACACCAGTTCGCTGAGAACCGAAAGGGTGTTTTTCCTCCTCTCAAGACCCGGTCCGAAGAGATGGAGATGATGGAGTCGCAGACGCTGCTGCTGACTCTGCTGGCGGTCAAGGTGAGAGCAGCCCTTGGTCGCGTGTGCCGGGTGCCATGCGGTCTCGATGACCCGGGGAGGGAGTCCCCTCCAGCCTGAGCTTTCGTTTCCTGTTTAACAGATGGAAAAGGGTCTTGCTCGGTTCGAAGAAGAGGCCGAAAAACACTTATTAAAACTGTGCAAAGAGAAGGAGGAGCTGCAGAGAAAGACCCACGAGCTGCGGCGCAGACTTCTCCTCTGTCAGAAGAAGCGGGAGCTGGAGGAGGCGCTTGACGCCCAGGTCGGTTGTCAGCCACACGTGCGACCGGGCTCTGAGCAGGCGTTCTGGCTGGGCCGCCTCCCACCCTTGCAGGCAGCGTTGTGGTAGGACTTTGGGAGCTGAGGCAGAGAATCGCCTGGGCCAGGATTTCAAGACCAGCCTGAGCAAGAGCTGGTCTATTTCTACAAAAAATGGGAAAATTAGCTGGGCATGGTGGTGGCACACCCATAGTCCTAGCTATTTGGGAGGCTGAGTCAGGAGCAACACTTGAGCTCAGGAGTTTGAAGTCACAGTGAGCTATGATTGCATCATTGTACTGTAGCCCAGGCGACAGACCCTCTCCTCTAAACAAAAACGGTAATATTGGATTTTCTACTGCTATGGTGGCGGGGGGAGGTGGCAGCCTAACCTCGGATTGTTCAAGGGTCAACTATGTATTGTCACTGACCCCCATGCAGACGCAGGCAGCACGGAAGGGTGGGGCGGGCTGCCCAGGTTGGCCTTGGGAGGCAGGCTCATACGTGGAGTGCTCCAAGGCAGGAGGGCCCAGCCTTCCTGGGTCCGTTGTGATCCCAGTCGAGGGCCCAGGCCCAGAACACACTGGAAGGGGACCCGTGTTCACAGTGAGGAGCCTGGGCCACCCTACTGTCTGCTGGGCCGTTGGCGGGAGGGGAGAGCTCGCCCCCGCCCCTGTCCCTTCAGAGGCTTCCCGAGCTCCGATCCCTGGGGCTCGTGCAAGAGCAGTGCCGTAGCTTACCCTTGCACGAGCCTTCCACTCCGGGCTGGTGATCGCAGGGCCCTCCCACAGCCCCTCCCGTCCTGCTTGCAGATAGAGATGCTCAGTCCCTTCGAGGCAGTGGGCGAACGCTTCCAGGAGCAGTACAGGACGCTCGCCACGGCCCTGGACGCCACCCGGCACGAGCTGCCCGTGAGGGCGATCCACCTGGAGGGCGACGGGCAGCAGTTCTTAGGTAGGAAACGGGCGTCCAGGCTGCGTTGCGCAGCTGCGGCGGTGAGGAGCGCGTGCCAGTGCTTCCCGTGGGCCTGACGTGGTCGTGACAAGTGTGCTTTCCCGTCTAGTGGCAGAGGATGGTGGGGACCGGCCAGGCTGTGTTCCTCCAGGGTCTTGCCCTGAGTAAGCGACTTTTGGGATTTGTCCAGGGCTGTGGGATTCACAGTGATCTCCTGTCCTGCCGAAAGGCATTCTTGCGGGGCCGGCCTGCAGTCCCTGGGCCCTACACGTGCGAATCGGTGGCTGGCGGGGCTGCAGGGCCACCGGCCCACCGTGGCCTGCCCGCTCCGCAGAGCGGTGAGGTCCTTTCTGTGCACGGGTTTCCTGCCTGGCCCACTGGAAGCCCTTGGCAAGTGTGAAAACTGCCACGCCCGAGCCCCAGCCCTCTTCAGAACAGGTGTGCTCCTGGAGAGGGTTCGCGCTGCCCGGAGCCTGGGTGTTCCTAGGAAGAGCTCTCCTGCGTCATCGCAGTAGGCTTTGCCTGAGGCTGTCGCGGTAGAGCGCGGTGTGTGAGACGCACAGGGCTTCCCCGCCCCGCGGCCAGCGCATCCGAAGCAGAGTGAAGCGCGGTCCAGGGTCCCAAAGGGTGTTGCTCGATCGGCAGCCGCGGGCAGAAAGGGTTTAGTGAGTCGAGTTTTTTCCAGTGTGACACGGTCTAGGCATGACGCTGAACTTTGGAAAACGAGCCAAGTTGTAAAGAAAAAGTGACATTTGTGGGCAATGTCGCGGTTTGTCCTTGGCGTGTTTCTTTCCATGTTTAGCGCAGCACGTGTGCACGTAAACAGACTCGACATCGAGCAACGTGTCGCGGTTTCCCACTTACTGCGTGCACGCTTCTCTGTTGCACGTCGTTGTGAGAAGGGCATCATGGCACATGACTCATCGCCACGGGCTGTGCAAACTTGCCCTCGGTGGATGCTTGTCAGCGTCCGGGTTTCTGGTTCTGTGGCGACTGCAGCCCCTTCGCGGCCGTAACTCTCGGGCTCCGTCCCTGCTAAGCGCCGTGGGCATTGCCAGGAGCGGGTACGACTCCATGCATTTGCTGCGGCTGCCGCAACAGATGGCCAGGAGCGGGCAACGCAAGGAGCAGAAACGTGTTCCCTCCCAGTCCGGGAGGCCAGAGTCGGGATCGGCGTTGGCAGGACCAGTTCCCCCAGGCTCTAAGGGAGTAGCGAGAGCCCGCTCCCTCCTGGACTTCTGGTGTTGCCGGCGCTCCTTGGCTTGTGGCTGCGTCACTCCAGTCTCTGCCCGGTCCCTCACTGTGGCCTTCTCCCTCCCGTTGTCTTCCTTATCTCAACTCCCCCCTCGCCTTGTAAGGACACCAGTTACTGGATTAGAGCCCACCCTAGTGACCTCAGCTTGCTCAGCCCCGTCCGCAGAGACCCGTTCCAGCCTGAGCTCAGGCTCGCAGGGAGCTGCGAGCAGGACGGAACCTGGGGACACAGTTCAGTCCACAGCAGGACGGGGATGCCGTTCTCCGAGGCCTCGGGGTCCTAGAACGTGATCCTGACGTACAGCTGGCCTAGATATGACGTGTTGTCCGAGGGGGAGAGGTGCGTGGTCGGAATGCACGTGGCGTACGTACTGGGCTGCGCGTGTCCCTTGGCTCAGGGGATGCAGGGCTGCTAGAGGTCAGTAGTACAAAGGAGGGGATTTTAAAGTTGTCCTGGCCTGGCTGGGAGACCCCGGGTGATGCTGCACAGCGTGGGCTTTCCTGCGTCTGCACTGGTTCTGTCGAGGACCACCCAGAGTGGCATTCTAGGTCTGTTTGAATGAGCACCTGGTGGACATGCCTGTCCCACTCTGTCTCAGGCCACCGTGATCTCTGGCCAAGGGACAGAGAAGGTACCAGTGCACGAGTGTCTTCCTCTGCTTACCCTTCTTGCCTGTGAGCTGTAGCAGAGAGCACTTGCCGTGAAGAGAGAAAAATCTAGCCGCTGCTCATCTGTGCGTCTGTGCTTTGGGCACGTGCAGTCCATCGCTCCACGACCGCTTCCCCGCCTAGACGCCCTGCAGTCTGAATTGGAGACCACTCAGAAGCTCCTGGAAGATCTCGGCATGGGCACTTCAGAAGAAAACGTGCAGGTGCTGGACCTACTGGGCGAACTCAAGGACGTGCCGTGAAAAAGACCTTGAGCTCCGAAGTATCTCAGAAAATATGTTAAGAAAAAGGCACCCCTGTCCAGGCAGGATGTGGGCTGTTGCTGCTGCGCTGTTTAGAGGCTCGTATCCTCTTTGGGGTTCAGCGCCTGGGTGAGCCACTAATCCCAAGACCCTGCGCGGTGCGTGAGTGGCCAGCAGGGTCGCTGTCGTCTGTGTTGGGACAAAGTCTCAGTCCAGGAGCACCTGGGCATCTTAGGTCCCTTCTCCCTTGCTTTGGAGTTGGTTCTGAGGGAGTGGGTGCTGGTGCCTTGGGACAGAGGGGTTGCAGTCGGCCCCAGATCCCAGTGTGAAGGTCGAGCGAGAAGGAGGAGGGGATGGCGGAGAACTCACACCCGGCCCTGGAAAGTCCAGGAAGTTCTCAAGCAGCCAGAAGAGAAAGGGCCTCACCATCACCCACCCTGTCCCAGAGTAGCCGGCACAGGCACAGGCGCCCTCGGGTCAGCGCTGTTCGGGTTCTAAATGTCTTCCAGGGTCAGGGTTTGGAGCGTGTTTTTGAGCTCCTTTATTGAAGTATAAATACACACGGCAGACACAGGACCTAAGGGCTGCTCAGTGGCTGTCACAGATCCTGTGCCTTGTGGACCAGCCCCTAGATCTGACACAGCCCGTGACCAGCCCCCGGAATCCTCTCACGACCCCTTTTCACCGCCCCCAGGCAATTTCTAATATGGCTTTTGCACCTCTTCCGGAAAAGAATTTTGTTTTCTCCTCCTTACAAGGCTCGATTTGTCCCGTGAGCCTTAATATGGTTATATGATCAGTAATCAATTGAGACCAAGCCGTCCACGGCTCTGTGCCTGTCTTTGTGGGTGGCTGCTGCAGTGCAAAAGTCAGGTGCACACTGGAATGCAGTGGATTGTGGTGTCCAGCTTTGACGTGTACAGTCAGGCGTCACACGCTTCATCCCGCCATGTGAGTTCACCGGAGGGGCGGATTCTACTGTCAAGCTGTCCTCCTCCCTGACAAGACGTGTCCGCCTTGTCGGTTTCTGTTGCTTTAACAACCACTAAACGTCTGATAAACTCGGATTTTATTATTCTTAAGCGATCTTGTCTGGACTGAGAAGGTCGAAGGGTCCACATTCTGTGTCGTGGATGGCCTTTTGTGGTGGGACTTCTGCAAGCTGGCGTGGTGACACTATTGGGTCACGTGGCGAGGGGCTGAGTTGTTGGCTCTGTTCTCTCATAAAGCCACCAAAGCCCCCTCCCGTGAACCCCGTTTAAATCCACTGATTCACGAGTGGCATGGCCCTCGTGACCCCAGTCACCTCTTAAAGCCCCACCTCTCAGCACCCACGCTGGGAATTGCGTGTTCAGCATGATTTGGATGGGCGGACAGATGTTCAAAACGTAGTACCAACATAGTGCTGATCGTTCTGAGTATTTCTTGAGCCCAGTGAGTCGTCTTTCATGCCGGCCTGCGTACCGTCTTAAGGAGTTTTCCCTGATTGAGTTTCTCCACCCAACCCTGTTCCCCGGCCCCCACTGAGCACACAGGCGACGTTGAAACCCCACCCCCACCGCCGCAGCCCCTCCTTCGCCACCGAGGGTGCTGCTTGCGTCCGCGCTCCAGCCGCGGGAGAGTGAAGGCCTCCACTCCTCCGTCTCGCCCCCCACAGGAGCTTTTTGCCCAGTGTGAACTTTTCTCCGCCGAGGGCGGAGCAAAGAGCCGCCTTGGATAAACCAGGGCGTCTGGGAAGAGGGCCATCAGGCCTGGAGCGGACCCAAGCAGTGGTTACTTCAGCGAGGGACAGCACCTGCGAGGGATCCCAGGGAAGCAACTAAGAGCGCAGCCCTGCCAGAAGACAGCGCGCCGCGCGCCGTGAGTCCACGCTCACGCCGCGCTCACCAGCCCGAGGCGGGGAGCCTTCTCCAGGCGGAAAAAAAGCTGCTTGTGCTCTGTGCCAAGCGGGTTCGCAGTGACGCGTCGGTGACATTCAGGAACTCGAGACTTGATACACTACCTTTTTGGTACTTAAAATAAAACGTTTGCAATTGGAGCCTTCGCTCTCTATGCAGGGACGGTTGGAAGGCCGTGTTGTCTCAGGTCCTAGGAGCGGCTGATCCTGGGCCTTGGGAACCTTCCAAGACATTGACAGCGCGCCTGTCCAAGCATGATCTCGTTCCTTCCGCACGAGGGTGGTTTTGATGACTTCGATAGCAAAGACAGGGATGGCTGACAGTGGACGTTTCTCGTCCCAAGGTTCCATAGTTATTGCTGGAGGTGCTCACAGGCTGGTTAGGCTCCAACGAGAATCTTCCAGCATCTCTCCAAGCTTCTTCCTGCTCTGTGTGGGCTCGGGGCGTTCACTGGTCCTCATCGCACTTTCCAGTTACTCGTGCACCGAGGGGCAGATGTCTACGCCTCTGACTGACACTCTCCAGTGGGAACAACACGTCACAACCCTAATGCCACCCAATCCTGGACATTCAGGAAGAGATGCACCTCTTCGCCTCAAGTGGTTCTGGCGTCACGGTTCTGGTCTTGAATTTACCTTAATGCCACAACCGTCAGGGTCCCCGCTGTTGGCCTCTCGAAGGCTTCAGCGCAAGGGTCTGGTTTGGCCATGTGATCGGGGAGAGGGAGACACAACTGCAATTCTCACATCCAAGCCTTTCCACCCCAACCCATTGTTCCTCTAATCTGTCAGTCTCTAGAAGAAATGCCACAAGAGCTGGGTCGGCTTATTATCAACAAGAGAAGTTGGTTCTCCACAGTTTGGGAGGCCATGAGTCCCAAGTTCAAAGGTGCTGGAGATTTGTGTGCCCTGGTTGGAGGCCTGCTTCCTGAAGCTGGCCGTCTGTCCGTTTGTTCCTCCACGTGGGTGGGAAGAATGAGAGGCTCTCCTGGGGCCTCTTTTAGGGCACTAATTCCACTCAGGAGTGGCCCCCCTCGTGACCTAACCACCCCCCAAGGCTCACAACCCCTATCCCAATCACCTTTGGGGGCCGGGTTTCCAGCATTAGGAAATGTGGGTGGCGACCACACACGCAGACCCACCCACAAACCCCACATTCTGCGTCCTTCACGGCCAGGGCATAACCTAATGCCGCCTGACGGTCTAGGAATCCTGGAAACTTTACTGCGCACTATGATTCTATTCCCACTCGTGAGCCTTTGAGGAAGCTTTGAGTTCACAGCAGGGCTGACCCGAGGACTTGGCCCTTTCTGCATTCTTAATCTGAATATAATCTGATTATTGCCCATGATGATTCCAGGTGTGGTAACATGTAATCTCTGCTTGTTCCAGGTTTCAAATTCTACAACTGGAGTAAAATATAGCAGACTTGTTGGGGCCCTTTCAAATATGAACCCTTGATGAGTCCTTCAGTTCATCCAGCCTTCCAAAGTGCTGTCTCAAGAACCTTGTTTCAACCCTGGAATGTCCATGCCGAGGGTTTTATGGAACCCGTGCCAGGAACTGTGGACAAAAGACCAAAATCATTAATATTATTAATTATTTTACATAATGCACGTCCCCCCAACACGGCGTGGGTTGGGGTGGGTGTGTGTCGGCGGCTGGGTTGACATGCGGCCCTTCATCGGTGACACCCTCTCCAGATTCCCGCCCTCCCAGGGGGCTGTTTGTGAGTGCCAGGGGCACAGCTGCTGCCTGATGCAGGTGAGGCTACCGCCAGCCTCTGCGTCCCACACCCGCCACGATGACCCAGGCCTTCTGGACTTGGGGCGCCCGCAGCAGGATGTGAAGCTGAGCGGAGCCGTCCTTGAGGTGGCGGACTCGGACCCGAGCCCGAAGGGGAGTTGGAGCACAGGTGAAACCTGGGCGCCGCCGCCGCCATCTTTCCCAGTGCCGCGCTCGCTTCCGGGCAGAGGCACGCCTCACTTCCGGTGTTTTACTTCCGGTAATCCCTGAGCGCCGCCATGGGAGCCGGGCCTAGGGAGCGCCAGGGCAACAGAGCAGGTTGGCTCCGGAAAGGAGGTACGCAAGCGCGCCATGACAGGCCGTGGCCGGAAGAAGAGGCAGGGTGCCCGCCATGACAGGGAGGCTGAAAGAGCTAGGGTTGGCCGTGCGGCTCTGCCACGCGGACTGGAGACCGGGATGAAAGACGAGACACGGGCGGGGGGGCTAGAGCGCCACCAATGACAACCTGAGCCGTAAAGAGGCGACCCCTGCTCCGTGCTTTCCACAGCACCAAGCCTGGCCGCGAGGGCGGAACCTGGACACTTGAGGAGGCGGGCCGGTCGGGAAACGCGGGGCGTTCGGGGGCGGACCTGTGTTTAATGGGCGGCTTGTGAAGGGCGGGGCGGGACTCGAGCCGGAAGAGCGTAATGTAAGGGATAATAATCTGACAAACATAATTCTGTCTAAGTTAATTATTACTTTAACATAAAAACTAAATTTATAGTTAACTTAAAATTACATGTTAGCTAGTCTGTATTATTATAACTATACTGCACATAAATGCTGCATTGAACAAGAACCACAATAGGACGTTTAACAGGCAGTTAGTGGTAATTTATAGCAGGACTAATTAAACATTTGTGTGAGAAAAATTTTATGATGTTTCTTTCGTCCTCTGATACAGGCAATTTTATTTTAAATCTTTTTAAATTCTTTATTGGATATTTAAATTTTGTAAGTTATTGTTATTAAATTTTGTATGTTATTGTGTGTATTCTTAAGATAACGTAAGGTAAGGCCTTGTAAAAGAGAGAATGGTGAATGCAATACGACTTAATACATCAGATGCTAATATTTTAGCAAGATAACCGTCAATAAAAATACCGGTGACTTTTTTTTTTCTGTCCCATAAAAGCACGCACATGCAATATGTTAAGTACACTAACACTTGACATGATAAGAACAACTATGTAATGGTTTATGTATTTACTGTACTATACGTTTTATTGATTATTTAAAATATATTAAAAAAACAGAAGTTAGTTGTAAACAGGGTAGGCAGGTCCTGTCGGGAGCTATTCCAAGAAGAAGCCGTTGTTATCAGAGGAGATGACAGCTCTGTGGGTGTGTTGCTCTGAAGACCTTACATGTGGGTCAAGACGTGTGATGGTGGAAGACAGTGACGTTGATAAGCTCTGACCTTGTAGTCGCCTGCGAATGTGTGTGTCTTGCTTCTTAGTTTTTAACAACAAAACAAAAAGTTTAAAAGAAAATCTGTTTTATCTTCCCTTGTCATATCCACAGGGAGGAAAACTAAAAGATTTTCACATCACTCTGGTGGCAGCTTCTAGGAGGAGGGGTGAGGACAGACCACCCAGCTGCTGGCACAGGGGACAGGGAAGGCGACCCAGGGTGGTGAGGGGAGGATGAGGCCTCACATCCTCTCCGAGAGTGCTGCTCTCACAGTGCCAGTGGGGACTGTCACGCAGACAGGGAGCTGATGCCACAAGGGAGTGCCACGGTGGCAACGTGGCTCTTCTCTGGGACCACACAGGGGGGCAGTGACCCCCCACTTCCCAGCCATCGCTCAGCCCCCACGTGCCCCACCTGTCCTTGCGCGCAGACTCTTGACAGCGGCCCTGAGCCTTCCCAGGAAGGAAGGAGGGAGCTTTAACTTGGCACACGTGGAGATACACTTTGCCACCGCGCTCGCCACGGACCGAGGGTCAGGGCTGCTTCGCACCTTTGCTTTTCTGGAGCTGGCTGGGTTTCTTCCCACCTCCAGGTATCCTCCCGCCGGTCTTCAGGGCATCTGTTTCAGGAGCCTGCTGTGGGAACGCGCGGCATTCAGAGGGCAAGACGCCTTCCCTTCCAGAAGGGTCCCTGACGCAGTCTACCCTGCTTTTTGCAAATGCTCTTACTTTGAGACAAGGGAGAGATTGAAAGAGTTTGGAAATTTTATCTCACATACACGGGCCAAATTTTTTCAAAAAGTGGACACACACATGCGCAGAGCATAGGAAACCACCGAAATAAATGTCTGCTGGTGATTATCTCTGACATGGTAGATTACATGTGACCAATTTTTCTGGATTCTTTTCAGTATCCGCTAGTTTTCCAGAAAGAACATATTACCTTGGTCACCAGGAAAGACAAAGTTTTTATACAGTATTAACTGTCAAAACTTATTTAAAAAAAAAAAAAAAAAAACAAGCAACACATGGAGTACAGCCCTTATAATAACCAAAAGCAAAAGGAAAATCTCATACAGGGCAAGAACACTGCAAGGCGCAGACACCACTCCTGTTCAACATCACAGTGGAGGTCCTAGACCAGGTGTCCTCAAACTACGACCCGTGGGCCACACGCGGGTATTTTTACCCATTTGTTTTTTTTTTTTTACTTCAAAATAAGATATGTGCAGTGTGCATAGGAATTTGTTCCTAGTTTCTTTTAAACTATAGCCCGGCCCTCCAACAGTCTGAGGGACAATGAACTGGCCCCGCGTTTAAAAAGTTTGAGGACCCCTGTCCTAGCACAAAACGCAAAAGGCAAACAGTTTGGAAAGCAAAAAGTGAAACTCCCTTCCTGCAGACGGCGCAAATGCCAGCCACACACCAAGGACCGTGCGCTGGGCATTGGGTGAGGCAGCTTCAGAGTCCAGAAAGTGAACTACTGGGTTGGAAGGCAAGAACGAGTCTACGCGTCAACAGAGATCACAGCTTTGTAAGAAGGATGCTCAAAGCAGCGGGCTGCTCACGACAGACACGCCAGCTTGGCATGAAGAGCTGACAAAGCACCTGGACGAAGGCCCTGGACCTGCTTCCCTCAGGACCAGCCGTGACCGGCTGGCCCGGGTGTTTCGAGTCCCAGTTACTCAGGACCATGCTCAGAACTGCTTCAAGCACGAATGGAGTGCCGTGTTACCTTTCTGGTTGTTTTCTTCTCGTAGTCCAAGTAGCGGGACTCAACCACTTTTCCACCTGTGGGGGACACACTGTTGGTTTATAACAAAACTACTGTTGTGGCCTGAGAGGACCCAACACCCCCAGACCCCAAACCCACCCAGGATCTCCGCCCCAGAGAGCCAGGGGCTGTGACTCTCCCTACTCAGTGACAGAGACAGGAGCCACTGCTCCTCTCTGATCTTGTCCTTTAGCAGCCTCAAGCATGTACGAGACACCTACTGTATTCAAGAACATTTATGGGACACCTACTGTATGCAAACTCCAAGCCAGGGGTGGGACCACAGAGTAGCAGAAGAGCCGAGATCAAGGAATATGCCCCAAGGAACATGCCCAAAGGTCAAAGCAGCAAGTGCACTTGGGGTGAGGGAGGGGAAGGAAGAAAGAACTTTCCCCGAGTCTCCAGTTTGCTTCCTCCCCACCCCCAGCTCTGTCCTCATGGATGCCCCACCCTCGCCCAGACCCCTCCCCGTACCTGCCCTGACAACCTTCAGCTCCTGGGCCTGCTCGCCCCCCAGTCTCAGCTGCTGGCCTGTTTCCTGCTTCACCAGGAGGGCAGAAGCGGGCCCAGGAGACCCTCCCCCCAGCGCATCCAGCCCCTCCAGGCCTGAGAGCTGTATCCTGTCCCCTGTGGATGGCTCTCTGTGCCCCCGGGGAGAGTGAACTCTCCATTCTGGGTGCTGGAGCCCAGCCCTCACCCCAAAGGAAACACCCAGCAGCTCCCGCCTCCGCCTGCATGGATCCCAGTGTGCACCCCACGCCCACCTCACCTCCCATCTCTCCGCCCCCCTGTACAGCAAGCACCCTGCACTCGAGACTCCTCTTCCTCTCCTCCCTCTTCCCTTGAATCCTGCAGTTCACCTTCAGCCTCACCCCTGTGCTGAACTCCTTTGGGCCAGACCACCAGGACCTCCCCACTCCTGAACCCTCGGGCCGCCCTGGGTCCTGGTCATGTGAGCATCAGCGCAGCCACCAGCAGCTCCCTCCTCCCTGCAAAGCCCCTCGCGGCGCCTCCAGGCTGCCCCTCTGGGGGCTGAGGCCCGCTGGGTCCACCAGCTCAGGAGGCCTCTAGGCACCTTCAGGGCTCTGCACCACCTCCCTCACTTGCTCCCTTCAGCCATCCTAACCCCTCACTGTGTCCCCCGCCCCCAGCGCCTCCTTTCTTCAGGGCTCCACTCAGCTCAGACCCCAGCACGCTCTGCCCGTTTTGCCCACAGCATGTGTCACGGTCAACACGCCATGTCTCCTACGTTTCTGCTACGCTGCCGCCTCCCCTCGCTAGGGCTCCCGGAGGACCTGGGATTTTTGTCTCCTTTGCTTGCTGCTATATTCCACCACCAGGCACAGAATAGGTGCTCAGGAATATGTCAAAAGAATGACTCTACATTTTTATAGGTGCCTATCGAGCCCGGAGGTTTCTCTTTGCTTGACATGGTTGATGTCACACAGCTCAAAAGCGTTTGTGAGTGCGATTGTGACTTCAACCATAACTTCATGCCAGGATTCAATTCTTCCCTTGGGGACTGGGATGGCAGCCACAACAGGAAGGGGAATGGAGGCACCCCCACAGACCCAGAGTCTAGCCAGAGAGCTGGTGGTCAATCTGAGTGTCCCCAGGGCAGGGATGAGCCACGTTGGCAGAGCGAGTGTGCTCAGAGCACGGGGTGGGCGGGTGCCTGGAAGCTGGGGACAACCAGGAGGCCACAATCAGGGTGCAGGTACCTAAGGGTCAAGGCCTGGACCAGGCAAGGGTCTCAGGGACAGAACCGATACTTATGGAGGGTCTGCCACCGGATGGCAAGTGAGGGCGTGGGGTAAAGGACACCCCCAGTTCCAAGCAGGGGAGCCCATCCTGCTTTGGGTCTTTTTAAGACTGTGGGCAAACGGTTTCGCTCAATGAGAAAGCTTGAAGGCTTTTGCTGTCTGGCACAGTGGGGAAGAAAAGCAGTTTCAAGTTTCTGGAAAACTAGGATACCCCTGTTTTGTTTGAAACAGTGCTGAATTTTGCACAGAAGCAATGACACAATCAAGGGTATAGTTTGTGACCGAGAACTGGGCAGCACATAAACATAGCAGATGTTCTACACGAGGTCAAAAAGCAACGCTGAACACCTAAGCCTCGACTCCTTTGGAACAAAAATCCCAAGTTCTGCGAACAGGGCACTGCCACACGGCACACGTGGAGAAATACTTCATCGTGTCGTAGTCCTGACTTTCAACGAGCCAGACCCCAGAATCTACCATCCAAGCCAGGCTCTGCCGAGACCCAATGAGGTTGGGGGGCTAACAGTGACCCCAGACTTACTGGGGAGGAAAATTGGACATACGGGCACCCCCACATAACTAACGTGCTTCCGTTTTGAGACTGTGATTTTAGATAATGAATTCGGCTCATGGGTCCCCACACCCCCCTTCCCAGGGATGTGTCCTGGCCACAGCCCGAGAACCGCATGGCTGAAAGGGACCCCACTGTCCAAAATGATTGCCACCGTCTCATGACACATCCCTGGCTTTGGGCTAGGATGGCCAGACTCAATCTCCAGAGCTGTGACCAGGAGGAAGTAATACCATAGGCCCTCTTCTCTGGACTGGTTTTTCCTTCAACCAAAAGCCCTTAATGAAAGAAAACAATCACTTTTTATTTAAATGGATCCTGCTGTCGCTCACCTAGAACTCTTCTCTCCTTCCTCCTGGCTCCACTGGAAGTGCTGGGACCGGCCGAGGCAGGCTTCCTGCAAGAGGAGAGAGAGCGACCTTGTTCACCGTGGCCCAGGAGGCACAGGGGAGCCACCGAGGTACCTCCGCCAGCTGGAGCTCAGTGTCCTCAGGACGGCCGGTCCCAGTGCCGCCTGAGGACTTTCTCAATCTCAGCAAGGCTGGGCCACCTCAACGGGAAGAGTGACACAGGCAGCTGCCCGCCCCGGGCCACCTGGGCAACACAGCGTAGCTGAACACCTGAGCTGAGAAGGGAGCTGTGTGGGAAAGATCGCAGTTGTGCTCAGTGTCGAGCATCTCAAATCAGCCCGGGCTCCACCCGTCCACCAGACGTTCATGTGCCCGCCACTGTCTGCCACGGGGACACAGCGGTGAACGGAACACAGAGTTCCTTCCCAGAAAGGGAAGGTCGGCACGTTCCTCAACACGCACGGGTGAGGAGCGGCCCAGGCAGGTCCAGGGCTGGCGGGATGGGTGTGACAGAGTGCAGCAGGCTCAGGTGCAAGACAGAGGACATCCTGAGACGATGGTTCAACAAGGGCCTGGGCACTGGGGCCAGCACGACGTAGACACAGGAAATGGGCAGCCCGTGGTTTAATTGCAGAGGACGAACGGGGCCACGGAGTCAGGGAGGTCAGACGGTTGGCCTGGCTGTGAGTCCCGGGTTCTAGCTTAAGGGCTCAGCCCTGTTCCTGCAGCCCAGGGCTGGGGAACCCTTCTCTGTGAAGGGCCAGACGGAAAATATTTGTAGCTCTGTAGGTCACCTGGGCACTGGTGCACCTAGAAACTGATCATGGTTGCCGTTCTAACACGAAACATGGATGGTAGAGAACGCAATGGACAAGCTGTGTCCTGCTAAAGGCAGGGACGTTTGAAATTCACACACTTTTCATGTCATGAAAATTCTTTTGATTTTTCACAACCATTTAAAAATGTACAAACCATTCTTAGCTGACCAGCCCTACAAAAAGGGAGCACTCTGTGTTAGGGCGGGGGCGCACAGCGCGGGTTGAAGAAAGACCTTTCACAGAGAGTTTAGGATACAAAGAAGTACAGTGTTTATTTATCTGAGAAAGAAACAAGGAAAGAGAGAAAGAGAAGGAGGGAGTGGCCATGGCCCACTGACGAAGGAGAGAAAGTGTGGGCAGTTGAGGAAAGTTCTTTGGGGTTTTAAAGGGTAAAAATGGGTTTTTTTCCCCTCGCCTTCCGTAGACTGAGAACAGAAGTGGTGGCAAAGCTGTTGTAGGTGTTTTTTAATTTCTTTTTCTCTGAGAAACCAGCTTATCTGAGTCTTTGAAATCTGTTTTTCTGGGCAGGATCTGAGGCAGAGAGTTGGAGGCGGGAGTTCCCATCCCTGCTGTCGGCTTAGGGCCCTTCAAGGCTATGGGAAACCGCTTACCGAGGTAGGCCACGGGTGTTTTCTTTCAAACAAAGGGTAGGTGTGTTGTGAGTTTTCCTTTAAAGGGGCAATTATGTGTCGAGAGTTAATTTTCTTGCGTTCAGTTTGATAGTTTTTCTCTGTTAGAGAGGTTGCTAGTAGGGCCACCTTTTACTCTAGCTTTCGCCTGTAGCCTGCAGAGGGCTTAGCCCTGCTGTGGGCGACAGGGAGATGGGGAGGAGACGGACAACGTCAGAGCCGTGCTTCATGAAAACCACTGGCGGCTGGCGGGAAACAGGCTCCGGTGTTCTAGGAGCACAGGGACAGTCTGCTGGTGCTCCTTACTGGACCCGACAGCCTGTGTGTTATTCTGTCTGGGCTGCAAAACACCAAAGACTGGGTGGCTTAAACAACACACGTCTATTTCTCAGAGTTCTGGAAGCCAGAGGCTGAGCTCAAGGTGCTGGCAAGGCGGGTTTCATTCCCAGGCCTGTTCTGTCGGCTTGTAGGTGGCGGCCATCTCCCCGGGTGCTCACAGGACATCTTCTGGCTAGCGAGCTGCCTGGTGTCTCTCCCTGTGGGATACGGATCCTACTGGATCTGAAGACAGTACTGATTGTCACACAAAGGGGGAGCTATTGGCTTTAGTGGTGGAGGCCAGGGACGCTGCTCAACACCCTACAATGCACACAGGACGCCCCCACCCCAGAGAATGATCCGCCCCAGAGGTCCACTGTGCCGAGGCTGAGAGCTCCTGCTGTGGTGAGTGGGTGACCGGAAGCCTGGGACTGAAGACAGAGGACTTAGAAGGTGCCACGAACTCCTATCAAGAAATAAGGAAGCCTCAATGCTATTCAACTCTAAGAAGGACCGAGTGAAGTTCCCATACACTCTAACCAGGGTGAACCTCAGATACACTGTGCTGGGTAAAAGAGCCAGTCACAAAAGACCCCAATCATATAGTATCCAATTATATGCAATGTCCAGAACAGGTAACTTCATAGAGACAAAAGCAGGAGCTTGGGGAGGGGGGTGAGGTATGAGTGCTAATGGGGACAGGGTTTCCTTTGGTTTTGTTTTTTGTTTTGTTTTTTTCAGAGTCTTGCTTTGTTGTCCAGGCTAGAGTGAGTGCCGTGGTGTCAGCCTGGCTCACAGCAACCTCAAACCCCTGGGCTCAAGCAATCCTGCTGCCTCAGCCTCCCAAGTAGCTGGGACTACAGGCATGTGCCACCATACCTAGCTAATTTTTTCTATATATATCAGTTGGCCAATTAATTTCTTCCTATTTATAGTAGAGATGGGGGGGTCTCTCACTCTTGGTCAGGCTGGTTTCGAACTCCTGACCTTGAGCAATCCGCCCACCTCGGCCTCCCAGAGTGCTGGGATTACAGGTGTGAGCCACGGCGTCCGGCCACGGTTTCCTTTGGAAGTGATAAAAATCTGAAACTAGAGCGGAGGCGATGGTTTTACACTGGTTTCACACACTGTGAGCACACTAAATGTCACTGAATCGCACCCTTTAAGAGGGTTAATTTCATGCTATGTGCATCTCACCTCAATGTAAACATAGAGTGACACCTGATGTCACAGGAAAGCAGGGGCTGTGAGTCAGGAATCGCTGACTAACCAGCTGTGGGGGTGCAGGTGGGTCAGGGTGACACCTGGGTTTCAGCCTGAGTGGGAGGATGAGGAAGCCAGGAACAGAGACCAGTGGCACAATGGGAGTGGGGACAAGGCGCAGCACTGGAACTCCTACTGCCATCACCTGGAGCAGCTCCAATGGCCGCTGCAGCCACTTCCTCTGCAGTGGGCTCCTGGAAGCCCAAAGTGAGACCCGGGAAGTGTTAGGGGGCAGCTCCCGCCCATCGTGGGGAGAGGCAACTTAACGAATGTTCGCCAGGCGCTGGCAGCTGTGCTCCTTCACGGAATCCTCTCAAACCTACAGATTCCCAACTGTTCACCCCATCTCTCTTAATTTTCCAGACCAGCACCATGATGTTTGCACCGGTCACCCCTGGTGAGTGTCAGAGGCAGGAAGGGACAGAACCGGGACTCCCTCTGGAATCCGAGCCAGGGCTCTGGAGTCACACCGATCGGGCTCCAGGCCCAACCTGCTGGGAGTCATTAGACACCTGTGTGAGCCTCAGGTACACCTCGCCTGTTACTGGGAAGCACTGACGTCAAACTAATGTCAACCTCACAGTTCGGGCAAGGGGCAGTGGAGCGATTCCTCTCGCTGGCCTATGCCACGTCAATTCTCACCAAGGACAATAAACACTGGCCAAGTTAACACGCTAGACAGACAGCCTCAGCCTCACGCCTGGCACCCAGCAAAGCGCTCAGCTTCTTTCTTGCACGTGCTGAGTAACCCCGGGCAAACGACTTCGCCTCCCCGAGTCTCCGTCCTGTCCTCCGAAAACGGGGAGCACAGAATCAGGCGGGACGGAGGGCTGAAGGAGACAGTTAGCGGCCGCTTGCAAACTGCCAACGACAATACTGAGAGCGACGGCTCCGATGAGACTCAGGAGCCGTTCTAAGCGGGGTTTACGCCCCACGACACCGACGGGGCGGTGCGGCGTGTGACCAGCCCCGTTTCGCAGCGCGGGAGAGCGACGCACAGACCCGGCAGGCCACTCGAGTGCCCGCGGGCGCCCAGCGCCCAAGCCCAGGGTGCGCGGCTGGGTCGGGCGCCGCGCTCCTGAGCATGCGCAGAGCCCGCGCGCCGCCGGGGCCTGCGCTTCCCGAGAGGTTCTGGGAGGCGTCGGCCCCGTACTCGCCCCGAGGGCCCCCACTCCCCAGCTGCGCTGCCCGGTCCGCCCCGGCCCTCGGCCCTGCCTCTCCCGCTGGCCACCCACACGTCCGCGCCCGCGGCGCCTCAACTCACCCTGCGGCGCGCTCTGAGGAATCCGCCATTTTCCCGCCTTCCACTCAAAGGCGGCTTTTCACGGCCGGCACCGCCCCCTCGCTGCGGGTCGGACCAATGGCAGAGCTGTAGGAGGGGCGACCACGGGCCCGTCGCCGCCCTGCGCACGCGCCGCCTTTGCCCTCCTCACCCCTCGCACTTGGTCTCGCCCACGAGCGGCCGGAGGTGGTGGTGGCGGCTGCGGGTGGGGAGCCGGATCCTAGGAAGGGGCGTGGCGTCCGTGGCGCTCCGCCCCGTGACGCGCTCGGCGTTACTCCCGGCCCCTCCCCTCCGGAACCCGGAAGCCGGAGCGCGCGGGGGAGCGGCGGGCGCGCGGGGCGGAGCGGCCGGAGGCGCGGCGGGCGGGCTTGCTGGCGGGCGTCCGGGCGGGGACCCGGCCCGCGACCGGCGGCGCGCGGCGGCCGAGGCCCAGGTGAGTTCCAGGCGGCCGCGGGTTGGGGATTCGAGCTCCAAGGGCGCGTTCGGGGGCTGCAGAGAAGAGGGGGACGGAGCCCTGAGGGGAGCCGTGACGCGACGGCGGGGTCCAGGGGGGCAGGAACGAGCCTGGGGGTCCGTGGGGAGGTTGCGGGAGACGAAGTGGAAGCGAGACGAACGAGAAGACGGTTGGTTGGGACGGGGGCTGGTGAGGGAGTTTGCGGGCGTGGGAGGGGTGAGTCTTGTGGCTTTGAGCAGCTTCTGCGAAGAGGACGTGGCTTAAGTGGTAATTGGGGGGTCGCAGGAAACGGGGTTGGGGGAGGCCAGGAGGCGGGGTTGAGAGGCCCAGGCTGGGGGAGGGGGCCGGGCCGACGGGGGAACAGCTGGGGAGCGGCGGGGGAAGGGGTACAGGACCGGTCCCCGCGCGATTGAAGGAAGGGCGCCTGGCACCCAGTGAGTGCTCAGTAGAGGCAAGAGGTTCTGAACCCACTGATGTGCCAGGTGGAAGGGGAAAAGGGGGGTTAGAAGTCATGGCAAGAACGGAGGGAGGTCCAGGCAGGGCCTGGAGAGGAGGGGAGAGAAGGAAAAGGCTAGAGTGGCCCCGTGCAGATGTTGGGGTGCAGCTGCTGGTAATTCCATCCCCCCCCATCTCTCTTGATTCCTCTCCTTCCTGCCTTCACACCCAACAGCTGGGTGACCCAGGGCAAGTCCCAGCACCCTCAGTAGCAGCCTCCTGGTCTTGGAAACTGCACCACTCTCCTCTTAAAACTGGCTGGATTCTGGGGTCCCAGGGAGCAAGGAAGGAGCCTCAGGGCTTGCAGTGGCAGCGGGGCCGGAACTGTGTTTCAGGAGGGAGGGGGCCGGTGTGCACTCACCGGCGTGTGCAGGGCTGTCACCACCTCCGCAGAGTTGCATCCTTGGACTTAAGTGGGTGAGGCGACATACAGGAAATCTGTCCCCAGGCTGCTGTGAGCTGGGTCCTGGAGAGGCTGTGCAGCTGGGTGCCCTCCCGTCTTTCCTGGGCACCCTACAGTCCTGAGGTCTTTGAGGGCAGACCTCTCTGTGCCTCTTTGTCTGAGGTGGCAGCTGGTGGGGACACTGTGCTCTGCAGCCAGAGGGTCCCAGCTCCACCTTCCCGAGTTCATTCTTGGTCTTCAAGTCTCCAGAGGAGTCTTAAGGTGTCCGGGAACAGCTAGCTGGAGGTGACCTGGCCGCTGGAGAGTTACTCCACCGTCTGAGGGGTCCAACTCTGGCTCTGGCAAGGGCCTAGGGTTGCTTTTATCGCCATTCACATGTCTCCTTTCCCGACTGCAGGGATCTTTGTCTGGGAGCTGCCAGGAGTGCTGGGGAACCCAGGTTTGTATCTGGTTTATTGTAGCTGGTTCAAATCTGGATAGTTTGGATATAAAGAAAGTCACAGGGATGTAACCACCTGTTCCATTTCCAAAACGTTCTGGCTTTCATGAAAGGTGGCTTTGGGCCTTGCATGCCCAAGGGCACGATTACAGCCCACAGTTGTGCCTCCCACAGGCATTGACCATGGACTTGCCTGGCCAAGACGCTCTGATGATCAGGCCTGGAGTCTTCTGATCCCGGGGCCCGGGTATTGCCTCCTCCCTGCTCTAGGAGGGTGGCTAGGCAGGGTCTCCTGTGTTGGAGGCCCTGGCCTTGGTCAAGTCTCTGCCTGTTTCCGCGCCTGCAAGATGAACGGCCTGGCCTCCATCATCATTTTTCTACCTTGACACCAACCCCTCTCAGTAACATTCTCGCCTCCAGTACTCTCGCCACTTGGGCTTTGGATAGCCCCCCGACTCTGAATTCTTTGCTACAGTAATCCTACTTTTATATGACTTTCTGTGCAACAGTTTGTATGCAAGAACGATGTTTGACGACTTCTTTATCTTCCACATAGGAAATCATGGTGTCGACCGAGCTTTGGCACATTGCACCTGTTCCCAAAGCTTTGACTGCGCCGTTCTGGTTGGAAATCCCTAAGCAAGACCCTCCCTCGGGTCCTGTCTGGTGACTTGCCCCTTTCTATTTGATGGTAGGATTCATTTTTCTCTCCCCAGCAGGGGCTTGCTAATGTGCGGCTTCCTGTTCCTCATCTCTCCAAAGTGGTGTGTCTTGGGTGGGCCCTAAGTTAAGTTGAGGGCTCATCATGCCAAGCGCTTGGCTGGTTCCCAGGGACAGAGATGAGCCCTCATGCCCTGGAGGAGGGACATGCTAGTGTCCTCCCCATGGAAAGAATGGGGGTTCAGATCAAGCGGCCAGTGCGGCCACACAGGTGGCACAAGATATTGTGGGGGAAGGATTAGGGACAGCTGGCACAGGCTTTGGGACGAGGGGGATCCCAGCAGGTTTCCTCGGAAGTGGTGGCTGGCCCTGAGTCAAACCTGGAAATGTACAGAGTGTTAACCCAAGCCAGGAAGAGGGGATTGCACAAGCAGAGCCGTTTACCAAACATCTTCTACGGTAGATGCTTTTATACGCCCCAACTCTCTTATTCTGCCACCCACCAGCAAAGAGGGTCCTTGTTCCTATTTTCCTGATACAGAAACAGGTCCAGGCAGGAGATGACTTCAGAGATGGCTCCTTGGGCTTTCTAGAACACAGTGGATCCTTACTAACTTTTCACTGGTGAGGCCCAGGTCTCTAGGGCAGACTTTGTCAAAAGCACCACCCCAGACGTTTCAGGCTGGATCATTCCTGTGCACTGTAGGGTGTTGAACAGCACCCCTGGTCTTTGTTGATGAGATGCCAGTAGTATTTCCTCCCCCTGAGTTGTAAGAACCCAAAAATGTCTCCAAATATGGCCACATGTCGTCTGGGGACAGAATCGCCCCCAGCCCCACCGGTGAGGACTGATGCTGTGTAGTAAGGTTGGATTCTGACCGGAGCCCACCGGTACCCCAGAGGGTCTTTGGTGTTTGTGGAGCTCCTGACAAACTGCCACCAAGGATGGGAGTGCGGGCAGAGACCAGGAAGCGAATTCTGCTGTCCAGTCAATTTTAATTTGGAGGGAGCGGGTCTCGATAAAAAGGAGGAATGCACGCAGGGGGAGTTAGACAATGTACCCAAGGATGGACAGTGGGTGCCCTTGTCTCTGTCTCCTTTGTGTGACCACTGACCTGGATTTCTGGAGGAACTGTCCTCGTCTCAGAACGAACTGTTGCTTTTCTCCCGAGATTAGAGGTATTAGATTCTCTTCCCAAGAGCTACTTTTGGAGGTTGCCCCAGATACACATGGCTTTTGTCAGTGGAATTATCTCCTCTTGCCCTTTCACCTCTAGCCGCCCATCCGTTCCCAGGCACACACTGTTGAATTTTTGTTCTTGGAAGGCCCTTGCCTCGCCATCCCCTCCTCTGTTCCGCCCCTCCCCATCCGACCATGACATTGCCACTTCACCTCGATGAGAGGAGACAGCATGCTCTTGGGGCCATAGGGCCCACGACCCCTTCTGGGTGCTGCCCCTGTGCCCCACCCACAAGCCCTCCATGTGCCCAGAGTCCCCATCCCACTGTGCCAGGCAACCCCTGCTCTGCCGGCCATTCAGATGGCCCCAGGCGGCCTCTCCCCAGAGCAAGACAGGCCCTTCTCTTCTGCCCTCCTTGTCCCCAGAGTGGCAAAACAAAGGGCTCTGTCTCCGCACCAGCCCACCGCCGCCGCTGTGGCTCGGAGCTCTGTTCGTTCCTTTTCGGTTTTCATCCTGGCCGGGAAGGAGCCCCAGAGATTAGCCATGTTTCAGAAATGCAGCTAATGAGTTTGGGTTCTACTCATTTCCTAGGCGAGACTTTCTGAGTCCGAGCCCAGTGATAAATAAAGTAGTGATTCAAGGGTTCAGCCTGTGGGTTCGTCGGCTCCATTAAGAAGTTGTCCTTGTCTGACTCATCCGTTTGCAGCCCGGCTCTGCCCCGCTCGCAGGGTTGTGTGTGCAAAGGGAGCCAGCCACGGGGATTTCGTTACTGGGCGTATGAGTTTGCTAGGGCTCCCGTGACAAAGTACCACAGGCGAGGTGGCCTGAACTACAGAAAGGTATTAGCTCACAGTCCTGGAGGGCGGATATCCCAGATCAAGATGTTGGCAGGTTTTATTCCTCCTGTGGGCTGTGAGAATCCATCCCAGGGCTCTCTTGCTACTTTGTATGTGGCCATCTTCTCATTGTCCACCCCCGTGCCTGTGTCTATGTCCAAACTGCCTCTTACACGGGCACCAGTCATATGGACGGGGCCCACCCTAATGACTTCATTTTAAATTAATCATCCCTGTAAAGACCCCGTCTCCAAATGCAGTTGCATTCTGAAGTACTGAGGTTTAGGAGGACTTCAACGTGTGAATATTTGGGGTTAGGGGAGGAAGCTGTCCAGCCCAGCCCATAACACTGAGGAGGGGAAAATTTTCATTTTAAGATAGTGAAGTAATTTTTGGGAAAATGGTCATGCCAACAGAAGATAATTTCATCTTGCTTCATCTCCTTTAAATGAATGCTTTAAGGGGTGGACAGGTTGGTTGGTCACATCAATTTCAGAAGCTCCTTTTGGGGAATTTTCAAGATCTTGCACTCGTACGTTCAGGAGCAACTAACTAGAGGCACAGAGCCAGCCCAGGGAGGAATGGATCTTGCTTGGGGTGTTTTACAAGGGGGTGTGTTTAGAGCCAGGCCCAGGCGGCTGCGTGTGCCCAGCAGGGCGTGGGTCTCTGTTCTCAGTATTCCCGTGGTCTCCTGGAGGGGCATCCAAAAGCAGCTCCATTAATGGACCGAAGTGACCTCGGGACCGTCT